TACGTGGACTTACCTGTTCTCTGTGACTTGGTTTGGTCATCCCCTTCCCTACACCTCTTCTGCTCTCTCCTCCACCACCACCTCCACCCCCTCCTCCTCCTCCTCTCCCTCCTCCCCCTCCTCCTCCACCTCCTCCTCCCCCGGAACCTCCACTTCTGGACGACCAAACTTCACTTTGTCCTCGTGTGCGCACCGTACTGCAACACAGAGTGTGGTGTTAGGGTATGTTTTAACACATGAGAACTTTTCGTTATGTTTTTTATCATTATTATTATTATTATCAACATTATCTTTTTTTTTTATGGACATAATCTCTACATGCAACTTATCTCAATTTAACTGCCAAAATGTTATGTTTTCTTTAGTAAAACAGAAAATTATTAATGTTTTTTTTCTGTTCTTGAATTCTATTTAACTTCATCATTTGAAATTATATAACTACTTTAACCTTATACATTTCACATTTTCCTAACTACTAAAAATTTCCAGTTACCATTTTTTTTTTTTTTTTATTAGCCGCCATTTAATGGGAACAAAAGATATTAAATTACTGTGAAATATCACCCTTACATACTGTATATATAAAAAAAACGTTTTCTGTATGAATGTGACACCTTAACTTAAAGAGATATTTGGGTTGCCAGTGTTTATATGTCCTACCTTCCGAGCCCTTACCATTTCTATACAATAGCAAATGTGTCTTCAGAAAATGTGGTCTCTAGGGAATGCAGAACGTCTACTGACTATGGTATATTTAGCAATGCGTAGACATACCCTAAAGCATCATCTTTCCTATTCTGCAAAGCTGCAAAGTAATTTTGTAAAGCATGTTAGCAATATCTAACTACAAACATTTTCTCTTCTCTTTATGGTAAAAAGAATTAAAGAAAAAAAATAATAACAAATGAAAGAACATTAAAAGAGTGTACAATGCACTGTCCAGTAACAATTTTATTACAATAATATGAAATAGGAAAAACAGTGAAAGCAAGTAGTTATAACATCTATGAGTAACACACTTAATACAAAAACATCTCAATTTACTGTTTTCTTCATACAATTATTTTCAAAAATTGGTTGAAAGATTTCATATTAGTGGATCTATCACAACACTCAATACTACAATCTTTTTTTTTAGTATCAAGTTGTAAATCACATATATAAACTAAGAACTTCTCAGTGTTTATAGCTTTTCCAGCATTCACACATGCAAACAACTCCTCATTAGTATTATGTTTTTAGCTGAAGTATTACTACACACTTTAGTTCAATCTAATGATCATCTCTAAGTATTTCTAATGGCAGATATTACCATACTACAATACAGCACTATACAGTATTATACGCAAGTAGATCAGAGAATGCAAATATCTTATGGCATACTGAAGTAGTAATTATATCTATTATATATATACTATACTAAAATAAATGGTTCTCTAACAAACATTTCACTCTAATAAATAATGATATTTCTAGCACCAGAATGTGACTTTGAAACCAGGGAAGAAAATTCATAATGATCATTTTGATGATTTTAGACCACTGACAATTGTCACATCTTTACTACTGTCTAGTTCTCATTACAACCTTTTGCATTAGATATAAAGGAAACTATGTTTCTATTCCTACATATATATATACCAATCCATAAGCAGTACATTGCTATCTACAGCTAATTTGCCTTCACCTATGCACAACCAAGCAAAAACTACTTCTACTTGTGATAAGCTTTACTGAATTCATAAAGAGCAGCAATTGCCTTAGAGTAATTAAGTAACAATATATTGTAAGTCCCTTGATGATCTGTTGGGTGAAGAAACCCTGTCAGACAAACCTGACTTAGCCAAAGAAGAGTGAGTGATGTTTGGGAAGTTTATGGATGTGCTGCAAAGACCATGCATATATTTACTGGTTTGAATGATAGCACTTCTAAGTAAAACTAGAGTGTGCAGATGGTTCTGATAGTATGACTGTTTAAGACCTAGAATAGGCATTGTTGTAAAGCATTGAATGTCTTAAAGGGTTTCATTTGTGGTGTTTGGCAACTAAAATAACTGTATGATGATATTTCTGTGTATAGGAAGAAAATAATTTTTAATCAAGGTACATCCTTTAGTTAGCTACTGGGATTTTGTTTCACTATCCTCATGATGTGGATGATGTACATATGGTCTAATAAGTCACAGACACTTAAAGTATTTCTCACAATCTGATGGCATTTCCAGTATTGTAGACTACCTGAGTAATAGTAATAACGTACTAAGGTAGATGATATATCAAGGGAGAGGAGCCAATCCTTTGACTAGTTTAACCCACTGATGCCTGTCCAAGCATTCACTGTTGAGCACTTCTGCCGGGGAACAGTAGGAACAGTCCACCCAATCTTTGCTGTGTGCAGCCAGCCCAGCCTCCACAGGGAGCTCCTGCATGCCAGCACATAATGGTAACAGCCATACCCAGCGAGAAGCCGAAATATCCCAGGACAGATATAGCTACTCCA